AGCTTGCATGTCTGGAAAGGCACCATTAATGCAGAGAACTATGTTCAGGTTCTAGAACAACATATGCTCCCATCTAGACGTCATCTCTTTCAGGGAAGACCCTGCATTTTTCAACACGATAATGCCAGACCACATTCTGCAGCAATCACAACATCATGGCTACGTAGGAGAAGGATCCGGGTACTGAAATGGCCAGCCTGCAGTCCAGATCTTTCACCTATAGAGAACATTTGGCGCATCATAAAGAGGAAGGTGCGACAAAGCAGGCCCAAGACGATTGAACAGTTAGAGGCCTGTATTAGACATGAATGGGAGAGCATTCCCATTTCTAAACTTGAGAAACTGGTCTCCTCTGTCCCCAGACGTCTGTTGAGTGTTGGAAGAAGAAGGGGGGATGCCACACAGTGGTAAAAATGGACTTGTCCCAACTTTTTGGGGATTTGTTGACGCCATGAAATTTGGAAACAACATGTTTTTCCCTTAAAATGATACATTCTCTAGTTTAAACTTTTGATCTGTGATTTGTGTTCTATTCTGAATAAAATATTAGATGTTGGCACCTCCACATCATTGCATTCAGTTTTTATTCACAATTTGTTTAGTGTCCCAACTTTTTTGGAATCCGGTTTGTACATTCACCTACATTTGTAAACACTCAAACGCTTCTGTCATGCATTCTTGCCACCCATCCCCCTTACTTGACGGTTCCGAGCCTGACTCTTATACATTGAATTCACTGTCCTGCTCTTTGTTGTCCGACTCCACATGTGAAACCTCCAGGCGCCTCCTCCGTTTGTTCATGGCAGCTGCCTGTGGGCTCCTGCCCGCGCTTGACTGCCTGGTTAGCTCGGCACTCACCCCACCACTCTTTTAGGGGTGGAGATTTTTTTTAAGGCTAGAGGCAGAAATGCTTACTTGACTAGGCAGCTCATATGCAATATTAAGAAATCGTAAGTGGCTGTTGTGTTTAAAATGAGTGTTTATGTAATTATTTTCAGTGTACATATCCAATATAAGTTTTATTCATTCAAGGTCGTCATATTTATTCATAATTTTAATATTAGTAAGCCCGAGAGTTACCGCACCCAAGCAAAAAGTTACCATAACGCACCTGTCAAAAATAAGTGAGCTCCCGGATCTTGTTCTGGCAGGATACGGCTCAAATTAAGCCCTGGCAGCCACCCTATATTTACGTAAACTGACCACCCCTTTCATTTGAGGAAACTATGAAACTAGAAAGTTTTTATATTGCTTAAGTATACAACGCTGGTCATAAAATTAGAAAACTGTGTCATGAAAAAGTTGATTTCAATTCAATTCAAAAAGACTTTATTAATCCCAAAGGGAAATTATTTGTTGTTGGAACTCGTTATCCTCATTTCATTGAGAGATGTTATAGATGCTGATGCTGTAGACAGGAAGGATCTCTTGTAAAGGTCCATCCCACAGTGGATCCTAAGAAACTGGCTGCAGATGCTGTCTGAGCCGTCCACCCAGACTCGGTTGGACTCTCGGTTCCCTCGGGCTGTAGGACCGTCCGAATGCCGGGCAGAACTCCTCCCAGAGCGATGACCACTCCTCCCAGCATTCTGCTGAGCTCCTCATTGCTGTGGATCTCCAGCTGTAAGTGCTGAGGGACGATCCTGTTCTTCCGCTGTCATGAGCCGTGTTTCCTGCTAATTCCATGATCTCAGTGGTCAGGCACTCAAGCACAGCTGGCAGGTAGATGAGAATGCGTCCACAGAACATCCTTTTCAACTCATCTGAGATTCGGGGCTGTAGTTGATATATTATTTGAGTTTTTGAGATGTTAAATCAGCTGCTGTTGGTTGTAGAAAACTGCCTTGTTGCCATGGTTATGCATCATAACAAATGTCCAAAACTAAACAAGTTTCAGTAAAAAGCCTTCCAGCTGCACAGCATCTGATACCAGAGGAAACAATCATCCAAAAAATTGTGATTTACATCCAGAAAAAGAGGAATTAAAGTTTCCAAAAGCAAAATCTCAGAATGAAAGTAACAGAGCTGCTCCAACATGCAGCCACCTTGAGTGGCGCAATTCTAGAAAAACTTTTTAAGAACATATTTATTATATTATTATGCTATTATAATAATATTATATTATTATTATTTATTTATCAACATATTTATTATATATATTTTTAAGAACATATTTATTTCAGTAATTCCATTAAAAAGTGAAACTTGTATATTATATTCATTGATAGTGTTGATGATTATAACTGACAACTAATGAAAACCCCAAATTCAGTTTTGTTTTTTTGTTTTTCTCTTCTTCTTTCGGCTGCTCCCTTCTTCAAGGGTCGCCACAGCAAACTAAGTCGCACAAAAACATGGCAGTTATTTTTACGCCAGATGTCCTTCCTGACGCAACCAACGACCACCGAGCTACCACAGCCCTCTGTGTGGAGCAGAGAGCTGCTATCTAGGACACCCGGAGGAGCAGATGGTGGGGGGTTAAGGGCCTTGCTCAAGGGCCCATAGTGGGAGGAATGAGGGTGGGGCAGGTGTGGGTGCTTCACCTACCTCACCCACATTTTTGATGTTGTCTGTACCGGGGCTTGAACCAGCGATCTTCTGATCACAGGCCCACGTTCTCTAACCTCTGCACCACCACTCCCAAATTCAATATCTCAGAAAATTAGAATATAACTTAAGACCAATAAAACAAAATGTTTTTTAGAAATGTTGGCCAACTGAAAAGTATGAACATGAAAAGTATGAGCATCAATACTTAGTTGGGCTCGTTTTGCCTGGATTACTGCAGCAATGCGGCGTGGCATGGAGTCAATCAGTCTGTGTCTCTGCTCAGGTGTTATGAGAGCCCAGGTTGCTCTGATAGTGGCCTTCAGCTCTTCTGAATTGTTGGCTCTGGTGTATCACATCTTCTTCTTCACAATACCACATAGATTTTCTTTGGGGTTAAGGTCAGGCAAGTTTGCTGGCCAATTAAGAACAGGGATACCATGGTCCTTAAACCAGGTACTGGTATCTTTGGCACTGTGTGCAGGTGCCAAGTCCTGTTGGAAAATGAAATCTGCATCTCCATAAAGTTGGTCAGCAGCAGGAAACATGAAGTGCTCTAAAACTTCCTGGCAGGTGGCTGCGTTGACCTTGGACCTCAGAAAACCCAGTGGACCAACACCAGTAGATGACATGACACCCCAAACCATCACTGAGTGTGGAAACTTGACACTGGACCTCAAGCAACATGGATTTTGTGCCTCTCCTCTCTTCCTCCAGACATGAGGAACCTTGGCTTGACCTTGATTTCCAAAGAAAATGCAAAATTTACTTTCATCAGAGAACATAACTTTGGACCACTCAGCAGCAGTCCCAGACGAGACACTTCTGATACTGTCTTTTCTTCAAGAGTGGCTTGACACAAGGAATGTGACAGCTAAAACTTGTGTCTTGCTTATGTCTGTGCGTGGTGGTTCTTGAAGCACTGACTCCAGATGCAGTCCACTCTTCGTAAATGTCCCCCACATTTTGAAATGGGTTTTGTTTCACAATCCTTTCCAGGGTGCAGTTATCCCTGTTGTTTGTACACTTTTTTCCTACCACATTCCAACATTTTTCAGTCAGGACATCTGGACTGGTTTTTGTTTTTTGTTTTTTTATGCTGAAACGTTTCGCCTTCGGTCCGGAGGGCTTCATCAGTCAAGGAAACGCACAACAAAACTGATTCTTCCCCCAACAGCTTCCTCGGAACAAACCAGTTATGCTTGTGATAAGATGGTCTCTTTGGTACGCCCCCCTCCTCCATTGCCGGCCCTCTTCCTTGTTGACAGTCTTGTCAAACTGGTTGAAAACAACAAAGTTCATGCTCAGTAATCCAGGTATACAATCCAACATTTTTCAGTCAGGTCATCTGGACAGTTTTGTTTGTTTTTTTGTGCTGAAACTTATCACAAGCAGAACTGGTTTGTTCCACTTTGGAGTAAGCTGTTGGGGGGGAGAATCAGTTTTGTTGTGTGTTTCCTTGACTGATGAAGCCTTCTGGATTGAAGGCGAAACGTTTCTAGAGGCCAGCTGAGACACATCTCCTGGAGCCAGTTCTAAATGATAAAATTTATGGTTTATAATTTGTGCAAATTTGCACAGGTTTTGAAATTTTGTTAAATATTTACTAAATACGAATCAATATGGTTAAGACTTTTTAAGTCTGTATATTTCATATTATGTTAAGTTTAGAAAATATAGCAATATGGTAAAACAAAACTGTGAAGTCTGTATTTTATTTTGAGTTAAAGGTTAATGTACTATGTATGGTAGGCTGAAGTCTGTTTACTGTTGTATTTATATATTTTGAATTATTTGTCTGTGATGGACTGGAGACCTGTCCAGGTGTCCCCTGCCTCTCACACAGTGATGGCTGGATATGGGCACCAGTGATACCAGTGACCCGTAAAGGAAGAAGTGGGTAAAGATAATGATGGATGGACTATTTGTTCCTAGATTTTCATTTTATTTTTTATTATTTTTTAAGAAAATTTCAGGCAGCTAAGCTAAGCCAATACTGGTAATTTAAGTTACATAATTTTATGCACTCCTATAGTTTGTCCTATTTTTGGTATAAATATAAAATGATGCAAAAATATTTGACACAGTAAAGAACCTGAACTTATTGTTTTAAATAAATGTTCTATTTGTTTACATTGTTGTTTATTCTTTTCAGCTTGTCGGTTACATAATTGAAACAAAATTTATGACCATTTCAATAGAAAAATTGTTTCTGAATCGGAAAATCGGTTTTGGATCGAATCGTGACACCAAAAATCTGAATCAAATCGCCAGACACTGAGAGATTCGCACCCCTACTTCAATATTGAACCTTTTCACAATATTCTAATTTTCTGAGATACTGAATTTGGGGTTTTCATTAGTTGTTGGTTATAATCATCAACACAAAAAGAAATAAACATTTGAAATATATCAGTCTGTGTGTAATGAATGACTATAATATACAAGTTTCATTTTCTGAATGGAATTACTGAAATAAATCAACTTTTACATGATTTTCTAATTTATGACCAGCACCTGTAGTTTCCTTGAACGAAGTAGCCGAAGATTAATGTGTGGGGGTCAAGGCCACCACTGGCCACCGCCTGACCCCCCCATTGCACCTGGTTGTGAATAAAATGTCTCCCTCCACTCGCCAGTATCCGTCACTTTGCACTGCACCATACCCCTGTTATTTTTCCACAGTGTAACTACTACTTGAATCAAAAACATTTAGGTTTACTAACATTCCCAGATCAGTTCCAGTCCAGACGAACACTCATCTCAAAAACTACAAACATTCACTCCTCAAATTACTCAACGACTGGGACCAGTGGCGTACCGCTAGTTTTAGTTTAATTGTAAAAGAATAAAGTAAAGAGTGCACTGCTTTGTGTTGGTCTGTCTTGAACACTTTGAAGACTAAATGTGAGCACATTAATGTGTACAAGTACTTTATAAACACACTTTAAACTGTTTTTTATTTTCTTTTGTAGTTTTCTCGACAGTAAAACATCTTGACCATTTTCCTTTTAACTTCTGTTCTCCCCCAGCTGGCTCAGAGGAAGATCCGAGACATCCTGACCCAGGTCAAAATGTCACAGAAAGGCGGGATGGGCATGAGCGCTAGCCCCCACCCTCAGGGCTTCACTGAAATGGGCAGCCCGACACAAGGACTGACTCAGGACCACCAGCCGCGCAGGAAGTGAGGGTTCCTCACACGCCCGCGGGGCCCCCAACCCCACCTGACGGACACGTGCACAGACAAACGGACGGACAGATACAAAAAGAGCAACACACAGACCCCGAGACGAGCAGGGAGCGAGAGTCAGAAGACAGATCTTTATAGAGCGAAGGTGAAATCAAAGATGAAACGAATAAAGGTTATAAGGTAAAGAACGTTCAAAACAGACCCAGTGCCAGGCCAGAGGAGAGCCTGAGTGGAGATGGAGGGATGAGGAAACAGGGATGGAGGTGGGGGGGTGGAGTCCTGCTCATGTGTCTCGATAAAGTTTCAACAACACGACCTAGTTTTGTTCAAACCCACCCGCAGACATGCAGGAGGATAAAGTGCACCCCCACCACTGTACAGACCTCTCCAACCATCTGCACCCAGTCCTTTATTTTAAAGGTGGTTTTTTTAACATAGAGATATATGTATAGAAATGTTTTATTCAGAGCTATTATTGATGAAATGCAGTGAGGCGAAGCCGGGAGAGGAAGTGAGGAAACTGCTGCAGAGGCTCCGGAGGTGCGGGGGCCACCCCCCACCTCCAGGCCGACACAGCGAGCTATGAAGAGGGGCCGCAGATGTTAACACTGCTCTTTACACACCTCTCTGAACAGCAGAGAGCGTCGAGAAAATATGAGGTTGTAAATATATAATCTTCATGTTGTTGTTGAGAAATGCTGCGTCTGACCACCTTGCCTTTTTTTAAAAATAATGGGGTGTTCTGTATGGGTGGGGCCTCTGGTTGTGGCCCTCGGCACCCATTTCCATGCTTTGCAGTGTGGTGGCCAGCGCGGCCAGAGATAGTAAGGGGGAGTGGCGGTTGTAGTTGGTCCTGCAGTTCTAATGCAGCGGCTCAGCTCAAAACTACTGCCAGCAGATGTTTGCTGGTCGGTGTCCTGCCCCTTACATGGCATATTTTATATATATTATATATATATGATATGTGAGTTAGCCCGGCCCCTCAGGTGAACACGTTGGAGTCAAGTGTGAGGTTCTGCTGCACCAGTAAGTCCAGCAATAACAGACAGACTGAGTGTCTGAAGGGTTCTGATTATTGCACTCGTCCTGCACAGGAGATTTCTGTTAGGAGGACTTTCTCCTCAGTGTTGGAAACATTCTGGCACTGAAGCTGTCTTTGCGAGACAAACCTGCCTCTGAGGAGAAGAGCGGCCTCGGCCGAGCACCAAGTCTTCCAAAGCTCCTCACCTTGCACTCAGCAGTCGTTAAAATCCGACTGGACCAGGAGTAGTTTCTGGGTTTTCCTCTCCTGCTCTGCCAAAGGCCTGTGGGCGAAGCCTCCACACCCCGCCTGCATTTCTTAATGAGGGTCGGGTCAAAATGGACGCTTTCGCCAAGATTAGAACATATTAAAGAAGAAAAAGAAAAAACCTACCTCAGGGTAAAGTTACCTCAGTATTGATTTTTTTTTGTGCTTGCTGGTGTTTTATATAAGAAGAAACAAAGAAAATAAGAGCTGATAGTCCTGAATAGCTTTTTTTATTTTTTAAGAAGACATTTTTTTTTTTTTTTTTTTTTTGTAATGTCTTGTTGCTTTTGTTATTTTATTCTTTTTTTTTTCTTTGTTTTTGATGCAATGATGGTTGAATGAGGACAGGATAACCCGAAGGCTGTTTTTTTAACAAAGAGAGAGAAAAAATTAAAAATGGAGCCTTTTTCGTTGAGGAAACACTTTCTGGTCGTCCTGAATTGTGACTGGTGCAGATGTTGACTAAAAAAATGGCCAATGGGGAGCGGTTTTACCTCGACAGGGGGTTCTGATAGTGTCATGGTGAGTCTCTTTGATTGACCTTAAGATCCAGATGAGCTCCATCTGTGAACACACCAAGTCCCACCCAGATTCTCTGTGGGTCTGCCACAAGCCTTTATGAACCTTCAGGTGGCGTCCCTCTGGGCTGCGACTGTTGGACACTTGTTGGCAAACGAGCTTTATGAGGGAGTCTCTAAAATGTCTCAAAACATTTGCAGCAGTTCCTAATTTCCTGAGTCTTGGAGGCTGTTCAAAATATTTGAGCAACAATTTTCTTTTGAGAAAGCGTTGCAGGAGTTTGAAACCCTTCTTAACTTGGTTAAGTCTAAAAAAACACGTATCTTTAAATGATAATTGTTAAACAAACTGGTCTCAGTTTACCAATGTTCATGTCCAACTGTATTAAATCCTAAAGTGGGGGCAGCTGTCAGGGTTGAAATAGAGCAGGCTCAGTTCAATTCAATTCTATTCAGTTTATTTCTATAGCACCAAATCACAGCAGAAGTTGTCTCAGGGCACTTTACAGAAACATTCACATACATAAAAAACTAGTTAATAAAGTTCTGTAAAGAAGCAGCAGACTCGTTGAACCTTCACTACGTCACAGTGTCTCATCCTGAGCAAGCACAAAGGAGACAGTGGAAAGGAAAAACTCCCTTTTAACAGGAAGAAACCTCCAGCAGAACCAGGCTCAGGACCAGCGGTCATCTGCTTTGACCGGCTGGTTTGAGAGGACAGGAAGGAGAGACAGATGAACACAGAATGGCAGGTCCAGGTGTAGGTGCAGGTGAACCTGAAACACAAAAACACATGATAAGATAGAAATAATTTAAAATATTACAAATATAAACGGTAGAGTAAGTAAAGGCAGCAGCAGAGTGAAGAAATGTGGTCAGTTTGTCCTCCAGCAGTCCTAAGCCTATAGCAGCATAACTAAAGGAAAGCTCAGGAAACCCAAGCCGACCCGAACTATTGGATTTATCACAAAGGAAAGAACTGACCAGTGTTCATGTCCGAAGTGTAGTCCAGTAGATGAAATCCTAAAGTGGGGGCAGCTGTCGGGGTTGAAACAGCAGGCTGAGGACAACAGCCGGCTGTGATTTTCTAAAGCTGGACTCAGAATGTGTCTGTACAGCTCACTGGTCACAAACACTCATCTTGAATTCAGCGAGACCCAATTATTATTATTATTATTATTTGCAATTTTGCATTACTAAGTCTTCAATATTTTCAGCCCAGCGAGATGCTACATTTCCTCTTGTGCCTTACTGTAACGACATCATGGAAGCACCTAACACGCGTTACTTTCCTCTCCTACAGAGAGGACACGTGACCGTGAGCTTTAAGGTCAACTTCCTGCTGGAGTGTGAGAATCGGTCCGATCATAGCTGCACATCTACAGTTTGACTGTGGCGACGTCCGAGCGTTAGCTAGCTCTGATGTCTCTGAATGTGAATATTTATTACCTGTGCACTGACCAGGACGCCCCACCTGCTCCCTGTTGGTTACGCGTGTGTGTGAATGCTAATGCATGCGTGTGAAAGTTTGTTTTCAAAGTTTTTACATGTTTTTTTAACGTAATGTAACTTTTTATGTCTTTGTTGTGGTTGGGTGAAACATGGCCCCTCCATCCATGTGCAAACTGACAGGATGGAGAGGATCGGGAATCTTTTGGGAAAATGGGAGCAGTTTCATAATAGAGTCAAACCTGAACACATAGATCGCAAAACTTTTGTATTTTTTAAGAAAAAGCCTAAAGAATCCAGAGTAGGGAAGCTGTTAAGAAAGCTGGGCTTGGCCAGTCGTTGTAGGACTCTTGGTTTTCAGACCTTCACTGGTTACTCAGCAAACAAATCATCAAACAGGAAAACTAAAACGTATTCCATCATGTCGATGCTTCCATTTTACCTAAAGGTGCTAACTTCACAGCTCACTGAATGTTTTGTGTTGTTTCCACCTTTTTCCAAACCATAGAGCTTTGTTCACAACCACCAAGGCACACTATTTAGGATTCAATATTCAGCCTGCAGATATCTGAACTAATTAGATTTTACAACCCGACTTCCCCAAAAGTTGGGATGTTGTGTAAAATAAGAATAAAAACAAAATGCAGTGGTTTGAAAATCTCAAAATACACAAATTCTACTCGCAGAACACGTTAAATATCAAATATATCAAACTCTAAGGAATTGTTCTTTTTTTAATGTTTTTTTGAATTTGCAGCAACACATGCCAAAAGTTGGGACAGGAATATGTTTAGCACTGTGACGCTTCCCGCCTTTTTTTCAATTCAATTCAATTCAGTTTATTTATATAGCACCAAATCACAACAAAGTTGTCTCAGGGCACTTTACAGGAACATTCACATAAAAGCCAATTAGTAAAGTTCTCTATCTAAGGAATCCAGCAGACAAGTTGAATCTTGGCTTCGTTGCAGTCTCCCATCCTGAGCAAACACAGTGGCAACAGTGGAAAGAAAAACTCCCTTTTAACAGGAAGTAAACTCCAGCAGAACCAGGATCAGGACAAGAGACCATCTGCTTTGACCGGCTGGTTGAGAGGACAGGAAGGAGAGACAGACGAACATAGAATGGAAGGTCCAGGTATAGGTCCAGGTGTATCTGAAAGACAAAAAAACACGTTAATTTTTTAACGACTGTCCAATAAGACTCTTTTTCTCAATTTCTCAATTTT